CTCCGTCATCTCCCTTTTCAAAAAGGGCGACCCATCATTAATAACTAATTACAGACCAGTAATGTTTTTTGACCTATCTATGGCATTCGACACATTACATCACCAACTACTCTTACAAAAATTAAATCGGTATGGTATCAGAGGCCCTACCTTGGCCTGGATTGAAAGTTATCTAACTGACAAACAACAATTAGTAAAGTCGTCACAAAACAATAGTGCAGGGAGTTTCTTCCTATAAGAAATGGAGTTCCGCAAGGAAGCATATTACCACCATTACTATTTATGTAAATGTACATAAATGATGTGCCATTATCTTGTGAGAATTGTAGGCAAGTATTATTTGCTGAAGATCGCTCTGTTGCAATAAGGGCTGATTCAGTCTAGCAGTTGTCGATGAGGATCACACTCGTCATTCGCTCAACATTTTTGCTTTGGTTTGGTTTCTGGATCTAATGGCCACTCATCATCATCAAACCATTGTTCTCTTCTTTGTGGTTCTTTAAAGCAAAGTGCTGCTTTCTGAACCACTCTTGCTCCACATCATCTGCTTTCCAGTTTTATCTTCTGTAAGAGTGTGCACTCCTACAGTCCTTTTTGTAAACAAAAGTTATTTCCGGGTATCCATCGAATTTCCAAGGCTTGGTTGGTTGGTTGCGTTTCATAACGCGTATGTTTTTCCGTAATTGTTGGTCCTACGTACAACCCCTATGCTGGAGGACCAAGGTTTAGATTTCGAAGTGTCCACGAGGTGTTCTATTCACCCCACCTATCGATCTAAACAAGATTCACATCGATGAGGGTATTCCCCTCTACAGCTTTGACTTTGACACGGATAATAATCGTTTAACGCACAAGAAAACGTGCGCAAAATGATTAATAAAACGTTATGATTAATAAAAAAATTCTGAAAAACGAACTTTTATTGTTAGATGTACCCAAAATAGCTCAAAATCTAATATAGCTTTTTTTTTCTTTTATTTCTAGGCTAAAATGTGGCAGCTTGAAAAAATAAAGGCATGTTTTAATTTTATTTATTTTTTTCGCATTTTTTGCACTAGTTCAGTTATAAACGTAATAATTAATTAATTTCTTTTCAATTGTTGTTGCCTTGCTTAATCCTTTACGTAACGTTTACTTAAAACAATTTAAAAAAAAATGTGTTAATAAATATTTTCAGGAACAAAAACGTTTCGAATTCCTCGAAATCGAGCGTCAAAACGATTTGATGCAAAAACAAGAATTGGAGTTGGCTAATGCGATGAAAATCGACAAGAAAAAAGTAAATTTAATTAATAATTAAATATAAATATAATAAGTATTTTTTTTGTAGTTATTAGAAGATATAACGGAACAACAAAATAAATTAGATCACCAATTAATAAAGATTCATAATGAAAGAGAAATCGATCGGTTTCGTTTAATGGAACAACTCCACGATGTCGAAGAAAACGCAGATGTTGCAATAAATAAATTATTAACGTCTAACCGAGAACCATTGGCGTATCTTATAGAACAAGAACAAGTTTTCGAGGAAAAAATGTTACAAGCAGCTCTAGAATCCAACAGCCAATTGTTGTGCAAACAAGATATTTTAAGTGCCATGCAAGAACTTATCGAATATGAAACTGCCAAATTCCAAGAGTTTTCTAGTAACAAAAACGAAATTACTCGTAGTATTTTAGAAGAGTAAATTTAATCCTTTTTATTTACTTTATTTAAGTAACGATTCATTTTAGGGAATTGAAAAACAATCAACATTTAACGGATTTATTGGAATCGCAAAATTTAAGACAATCAGAATTAGTTGACACCTTACAAAACGATAGCGAATTACAAAAAGCAGCCGTTGGGACTTTATTGGAGAAAAGCGATGCGAGAATTTGGGGTTTGGTACAACAAGTTCGTCTGGTTGAGTCTCAATTGGCCGCTTTAACTTCAATTGAATTAGATAGAAAGAAATTAAAAATTGACAAACAAATTGTAAGTTTATTAAAAGTAAGGATGGGAATATCTAAAAGGACTACTACATCTTTTGTAATCCAGCACATAAATATAAACATTCGATATTATTGGCAGGCAATAATAACATTACTAATAAATTTTAATATTAAAAAACAGATAAATAAAAACCTAAAATATACCTATAAAAACTCGAAACTTTCTAGTTCTAAGAGTAGAACTAACACTAGAAACATTCGGCTTTTCAGTCCTTTGACAGTTCTTGGAAAGTTTCAAAATCCTTGACGTTTCTTGGAAATTATCAGGAAATGCATGGAAATATGTTAAAAACCTTGTAGACGTATTTAAGACATGAAGTCTTAAAATTGAAATTAATTGCCGCTAAATTTTAAAATCCCTTTTGACATAGACCGTTTCATACAAAAAATTGAAAC